TGATGATGAAGAAATTTAGTGGATTCACTTACCTTCAACTGTAAGGTCATCTTCACTAAGAACTTTTGTTGCAATTTCATCAAATAGCTCATCAGTAACCTATTAAAAAGCATAAAAAGCATATTTAGTACAGAAAGACATTAAATAAAATGAATAACTGCAGTTGTTTGAGGCAATTGCACCTTTAAAAGGACTTCAGTTAGAATCCGTTTTATTTCCCGATTTATTGCTGCAGTTCTAGCTGCTTGCACATAATCCTACAATGAAACAAAATGTTGAAGGTTATATCTGGAAATCAAATTAAGCATATTGAACTTTCATAAAAAGAAACCTCATTGAAGGCAAATAAAACCTCATTATCATCCTCTTCTTCAGTTGACCTAGAAGAATCAACACTTTTGCTATCTGCTTGATCACCCTTGCCAAAAGACTTATCAACACCTTCATCTTCAATGGATTGTGTCCCCTCTTTAGGATACTCTAGAGAAGATTTAGCTATAGCAGCTTTATTCTTAATGATTTCCTCTTTAAGCCAATTGGGCACAGAAGCCTGGACAAAATTCCATTAGAAGAATCCATTAATGACATCATCAGAAAACTACTCATTCAAGTAGGGTAGACATGAAGCTACCTTCTTAGGACGTTCAGAAACACTTCCATATGTATCCCCAGGAAAGGCTGAAGCAGGGTGAGCAGACGGTCCTGTGCCAAGAGGAAAAGGTGCACTCGCAGTTGGAACTTTAGGCTGGAAACTCGGTCCAGGAAACCTTCCAAATGGAGGAGCTGCATGCCCAGAAGCAGAAAGAGGACAAGGTACAACCATGGAAGGATCGTGCTGAAAAGTGAAACATAATATAAGCATACCAAAGCTTGGGGAGGAAAAACTCAAAGAAGTTAAAGAGAACTCATAAAGCAAGAAGCAAGACCTGTGCTCCCGATGGAAGGACTGGAGGAATTGGAGGGTACACTACAGAAGGGGCCCAAGCATTAATGGAAGGTGCTGCTGTAACAGAGTCAATGCTTCTCTCAGCTCCCACCAACCCATGAAGAGGAGCTAAGCTGGAGTGCATATGTGGATCAAGTTCATTAACCCTAGGCGCACAATCTAAAGGTTGATCACTAGGATCAGCTGTGGGATATACTGCCTGACTTCCAAATGTGAATGACAGTTCAATAGTGCCTGATCCACCAGCTGCAGGTACTGAAGGTTGAAATTGTTGCTGTGACTCCTGAACAGAAGAAACCATTGGTTTGTACAACTGTTGGTTTTGATCTGCCAAACCTTCTTTCTCTGCCATTTGAGTAACAGGTCAAAAAGAACATAAAACATTTTCAAGTACCAATCATCACTAGCTCGTCTTTTCTATTACTATTAGTCACACAAAAGCTTCTAATTAAACAAACAAAATTTATAATCTGGAAAAGCTGGACAAGGTCTAAAAACTAATATTTTGTTAATGGAAAAGGCCAATAAAGGTGGACAATATTTTTTTCAAAACGTACCAAACCAACTTGTCCTACTATTACAGAAAAATAGCTACTTAACAATGACTATTAATATAAAAA